TTCAGAATTAAAGAGATTTTTTTTATGTGGGGTAAGATGGAAAGCTTTTGGGGAAACACACCCTAACAAAGGGTTTTTGCAAGCCGGGTTTGGGAACATGAAATGACAAAAATTTGGGCCATTTTAGGGAAAAAGGGTTTAAAAAAGACGCAGCAACAGAGCTTCTCCACAGTTATTTTGTGGACAGGACCCAGTGACTCTCAAGGGGGTCCCAGTGGCATTAAGAAAAAAGAAAGAAGCAACCCCAGAAAAGCAAATGGTACCCGAGGGGTTTGGGAAAGGGGATTCCCCCTTTCCAAACTATAAACAATCCCCTCTCTTCTCCTCCCGTCTCCCCTACATAAGAAGAATCTCCAAAAAAGGTAATGTTATGCTGTTTAAAGTTTTTATTTACATTTCCCATTTTATTGTTTATTCTACATTATTTCAGTTAAAAAAAAAATTTTTTTTTAATATTCTGGGGGTCAGGAAAAGGGTTATTGTATTTAAATTATTTCTTATTGGGAAAATTGATTCGTAAATCGTAAATTTCGTTTATAGTAACGGCTCCAGGAACGGATTAATTACGAACAACGAGGGACCACTGTATATATATTAGGACGTGTTTCATTAAGACACCTGCTGTCCAAGTTCACTTCTCAGTAAAATAGGTACCTGGGTGATAGTGGACTGGTGTGGGTTGCATCCTCGGACAAAATTGACCAAATTTGCCCGAAATTCTCTGCAAAACAAAGGGCTTTCTATATAGTAATGTCACTGATGTCAGATAGACCTATATACAGTACCTTGTACATGTACTTGTAGAAATAGGCTATTATTAACAATAATATTTTTATAGGAGAAATAAATTTTCGTACACGGCAAAAAATTAAATTTGCCAATTTAACATAATTTTTACTAATCTGTGCTCTTGAATATTTCATTCATAAGAAGAAAAACACGCGTGTGCTTCATAAAAATCTGTCTTGTAGTTATATAATATACTTGTAAGACTAATTTTCTCTATGTAGGTGCCCCGTGGTCTGGTAGGCAACGTTGTCGCCTCACACACTGAGCATCTGTGGTTCAATCCTCGGCCTGTTGGAAACACTGGGCGTGTTTCCTTGCTCCTACTGCTCCTGATAACCCAACAAGCATGTAGGTAACTGGGTGTTAGTCGACTGGTGTGGGTCGCAACCTTTGGGACAAGACTGAAGGACCCCAATGGAAAAAAGACAGACAGTCCTCAATGATGCACTGACTTTCCTGGGTGGCTGACCTTCTGGGGTTAAAAATCCAAACAAAATCTTATCTTAACGAATATATTGTACTTCACATGTAGTAGCGAAAACTCTACGGTCGAATCCATCCAAGTTTTCAGAGGGTGATTCTTATTTCAATTTTATAGCGGGACCAAGTTGACTTCCAGCTTAATTAAGGTTCTTTTGAGGGAGTTGAGTTGCATTTTCTCTGCCTCATGGAGGTACAAATACTAGGCCTCTTGTGTGCGTGGGGATCAGAGGACCGAGGTTATGTAAAATGGGAAATGATACCTGTTTACGACAGCACAGGCACAGAAACACGTCTAGTTCTCTAGACTTGAACGTACAAGGACACCTCGTTGCTGGTGAAGGGTTCATGTTCCAAGGAACTAAAGCTTCCCTCTTCCTTTTCGGATCAGATATGATTACCTCTTATACAACAGGCTCTTATGACCTTTAATAAATATAAACTACTACTATTACTACTACTACTACTACTACTACTACTACTACTACTACTAATAATAATAATAATAATAATAATAATAATAATAATAATAATAATAATAATAATAATAAAGTAAATATAATAATAAATAAAAATAATAATAATAATAATAATAATAATAATAATAATAATAATAATAATAATAATAATAATAATAATAATAATAATAATAATAAAATTAATAATCGGCACTGCACCACCTTTTATGAATTTTAGAAAACACTGACTGACAACTAACCAAATTAGGTCAAGCCCCGCCCTATATGTAAGCAGCGTCATTTGTAACACCTCGCCGTGTATATAAGTTTCCCCTGTGTGTCCACTGACTCCAACACTGACTGGTGGTCACTGCTGCTGTAGCCTCTGTAGCATCATCGACTACCTCACCTTCACATGTCCTCAGACACACCTGAATGGCTTTTCACATGATAGAGACCAGTGTTGTTGGTTTAATCAGGTGATGATTCGACTAACACAAATCAATTATACAATCTGTAACACGATAGGTTTTTCATTACCCCCATGACTGTGTCAGGAGTGTTTACTTTGATTCCTCTGTCGGCCGACATATGGAAAATGTCTTTCTAGTCTCCTTGAGGTGTGGGTTTCTTGAGAGACTGCCCTTGAAGTGTAGCTTTCTAGTAAGACTTGAAGTTTTACTCCCTAGTATAAATGCGTTTGGATCATTTAGTATAATTTGTTTGACGAAAGCTGGTAAATTCTTCCCTCGGCATCCAACGAAATTCTGTTCTGTTCTGTCATAAGTAAATATAAATCCGTTTTATGTCACTGTAACTACAGAATAAAATGTTCTTATAACTGGAAGTTGAGTATGTGAGAGTGATAAGTAAGAGAACGATGTGAGGAGTGCGCAGAATATATGTCAAACAATTATGGTAAACAAAACGTCTTGATGAAGCTCTCCTACACGGAGCGAAACGTCCCAATAAAAGCTTGTTCTGCAAAATGAGTTCTTGTCCTCAGACATGCAATTAAGGTTCGATCAATTTTGACTTAGAAAGGACGTATGAAAATGGTGTTTTGGCAATAGAACTGAGGATGAATGGGACAAACTCCCAAACAGTCTCACTGATATGAGCCTTTTGGGTAAAACCTGGATAGACAAGCATGCGAATGATGGTGGGTGGGTGTGAGTGGGACCTGCCTAGCATGGACCAATAGAGCTACTGCCGTACTTGGCTATTCTTCTCATTAACGTTGTGCCTAAGTCATAAGCCAACCCCAAAATAAACATCTGAGGGTCGTATGACCACACGTGTAAAACCTATATATATATATATATGTAGAACATGGGGAGATGTCCCATGTACAGTCTTCGTGTAGTACTGATGGTGGTAGCAGCTCACCATGTCTGCCGTGTTAATGGTGAGTTTAAGGTCACTCTGATCACCTGATTTTGTAATCGCCTAATGTTGTGGTCACCTAATGTTGTGGTCACCTAATGTTGTGGTCACCTAATGTTGTGGTCACCTGATGCCACAGAATTGGCAAGCTTAGCTTTTTAATTACATTCAAGGTCAACTGTTTGAGATCATACGGTGACATAGTCTTTTGAATTGAATAATATTAATAAGTTAATCATTCTCGAAGTCCAGCTAAAGATAAGTTAGCGAGCTATCTTTATAGATTTCCTGTGAGTCTAACATCATGTTAGGCTCGGCTATAAACATTAATATATAACATAGCTTTTTGCATAACCACGAACATAAAGAGTGAGTTCCCTGCATACTGACATCTGGGATGTCGGCTCATCACCACTAGACCAAAGGATAAGCAGCCACACATCCTGACATAGACATCAATATGCAGTGTACAACACGTATAGTGAGAACATCATGTAGTGAGAGCATAATGCAGTGAGAACGTCATGCAGAGTGAGACCATCAAGCAGTGAATACAATCATGCAGAGCGAGAACATCATTCAGAGAGCAAATGTCTTGCAGAGTGAGAGAATTATGCTATGACAAGCTTAATTCACGATTTGGTGAGTTATTGAGTATGATGATCAGTGGTTAAGTGACGACAGTCAGCATTAGATTACTCTCTCTCAGAGACACTGACCACACACACATACACACACACACACACACAAACACACACACACACGCGCGCGCGCATGCTAAACGGTGGCCACCTTGTGACCATCGCATAATTAACTGTACAGTAACGGTCAAAAATGAGAATTATTTTGTTCTGCAAGCTAATAATGGTCCAGTGCGCACCGAAACGTCGTCTGGTATTCATTTCTGATTCACAGGTTTATTATGAACCTGTGAATCAGAAATGAATACCAGACGACGTTTCGGTGCGCACTGGACCATTATTAGCTTGCAGAACAAAATAATTCTCATTTTTGACCGTTACTGTACAGTTAATTATGCGATGGTCACAAAGTGGCCACCGTTTAGCATGCGCGCGCGCGTGTGTGTGTGTGTGTGTGTGTGTGTGTTTGTGTGTGTGTGTATGTGTGTGTGTGATCAGTGTCTCTGAGAAAGAGTAATCTAATGCTACACCCACAGCCTGGCTGCCTTCAAGAAGGCGCTAGACAGGCACCTAAAGCCAGTACCTGACCAGCCGGGCTGTGGTTCGTATGTCAGTTTGCTTGCTACCAGCAATAACAGCTTGTGCAAGAAAGGTATATAATACCGACAAGATGAAAGTTAAGACACTTGTGCAACATCTGGTTATCTTTATTGTAGACGTTTCGCCATCCAATGGCTTTATCAATACAAATTCCAGGACATAACTTGAAGACAGTAGAACTATATACAAAAAATGAGGTAATCAGTCCCTCAGCCTTGGAGTTAGTGTTACAGCACCGTGGTGGTAGAGATTCTGGAGCACAGGCAAGGAGACTGGCGGTTATATAGGCGTCAGTGGATAGGGACGTGTAGCAGACGAGGGCATAGTCACTGGTAGGTGGGATTCCCCAGTGGAAGTAGGTCCTACTACAACTAACCCATTTCTTTGAGTAGGACCTACTTCCACTGGGGAATCCCACCTACCAGTGACTATGCCCTCGTCTGCTACACGTCCCTATCCACTGACGCCTATATAACCGCCAGTCTCCTTGCCTGTGCTCCAGAATCTCTACCACCACGGTGCTGTAACACTAACTCCAAGGCTGAGGGACTGATTACCTCATTTTTTGTATATAGTTCTACTGTCTTCTAATTATGTCCTAGAATCTGTATTGATAAAGCCACTGGATGGCGAAACGTCTACAATAAAGATAACCAGATGTTGCACATGTGTCTTAATTTTCAATAACAGCCTAGTTAATCAGACCCTGATCCACCATGAGGCCTGGTCTCAGACCGAGCCGCGGGGGTGTTGACCCCCGAAACCCTCTCCAGGTAAACTCCAGGTAACACAGCACCCAGTATGCTCTACAACCAGTTTACGCTCATGCCATGGCCTACGTATCACCTAGTTTGCAAACCCAACACTTAGTGTATAAATACAACACCGGGATGTAAATCTAACACTAGATAAGGTAATAAATTTCATTAGCAAGATTTATAAAGCTTGTATCGTGAGATATTTTGTCTGCATAATACATTATTTAACCTAACTAGACTTTTCTTTCCTGAGTTCTGATTCTGGTATGTCTTTAACGTGGTTTACATTGTTTCCAGGTGTCGTTCACAGCGTCGATGGCATTCGTAACAGCTACGTCAGACCCATCGGTTTATTTCCCACCTACGCTACCATATCTACAACACATCAACCACTCACATCCCACCTACTACCCGCAGCCCACTTACCATCAGCAACCAACCCTGGCCCCACAACTTCCCTACAATGGGCACCCAGTCATTGTGCCCTCCTGCGCTGCTAACACCACCAAAACTTGGTGCATTGAAGACACTGAGTATCCCACCTACGAGGTCCAGAACGCTCTCCAGCTTCACCACTTTCTCTTTACTACCCTCTACGCTGACTGGGCTGCTCTCGAGACTAACGTCTCCGTCGCACGTCCTAAGAATAATCAGGCGGAGACGTACCTCTGTCCCTCGGAAAACATCTACGTCAAGCCTCTGCGAGCCCAGAACACCGAAGGTGTGTGGCGCGTCATTGTCAACGACATCAAGGTCAATTATGAAACATACACACAGACGACACGACTTGAAGAGTGCATGACACCTAGTGAAAATTGCCCACTGGTTCCTCTGTGCTACGAGTCCAAGTGCCTGCAGAAGTTCACCTATCAGCGCTTACTCATCTACGATCCCCATGATCAACATTTTCCCTTCGCAATCAACACCTTCAAGCTGCCCGCAAGTTGCGTCTGTCTACTAGACAACTTCACATTGTACAAGGAAACAACTTAAAAGCTCTTGAAATGTATGTGTGATACGATTTAAGTTCGAACCAACGAACTCCAGTTAGGAAGGAGAGGCTGTCTGGACCTGAATCGAAAAGTCACGTCTCATTTCCCAGGCTCCGAATGATCGTTATGGATTTACCTCTTCTCTATGATGATGATGACAATAACATTTTTAGAAAATCAGTCATATGCAGATTTAAGGATCTAGAATAAGTAAAAATCTGTGGATTTTATTATACATTGATTTGAGAACATTTCGTCTTTCCACCTTAATTTTCTTCCTCTTCTTCTTTTATTTTTCGTAAAGTTTATTCGGAGATTTTTCCCCTTATAACTTAGCAAGTTGTACTCCTGATGCCAATGAAAGGCTCTAGATCCCAGGAGTTGGGGTTACTCTCCCCTTCCTCAGATCAATCATCATAACCTCGCATCACCACAAGCGCTGTAACGCCCCTGCAGAGTATTTCCACAAGAGTCTTATGTTAATAGAGTAAAAAGTAGAGAATGAGACAAGAGGAATGAACATTCTTTATTATACAGCAAAAGTTACTTCACATTAACGTACTCATTCTGTCTTGAGTACAATGTATAAATAACTATGTTAAACAGCAGGGCGATAAAGGGATAAATAAATACGTATATATATATTTATATATATTATAATATATATATATATATATTATATATTATATATATATATATATTTTATATATATATATGTATATTCTTTCAACAATAAATAACTAATGACTAGGGAGAACAGAAATATATAACTTCATAGTCTTATATCGTAGAGAGAAAAGATATAAATTAGTGTGTTTGGATAACTGATAATGACAGCTTAAGATTTGCTCAGTTTGTGTGGGTATCTAGCTGAGGGTGAAAGTTCAACTACAGCTCCTGGGCCCTCCGAATTCTTTAATTCTACTGAAGCGGTTAAGAATAAGGCAACATGGATGGAGTTAGGCTGTAAAATACTTCTTTCCTGCCTCGTGTGTGTGTGTGTGTGTGTGTGTGTGTGTGTGTGTGTGTGTGTGTGTGTGTGTGTGTGTGTGTGTGTGTATGTGTGTGTGTGTGTGTGAGTGTGTGGTGTGTGTGTTTATATCAAAATAACAAATTTTATATATGCACCATCGTCCTCTTCGCTGGTCACTACTAGGTCCACTCCCCCCCTGCTTCATGAGCTTTATCATGCCTCTTCTTAAAGCTATGTATGGATCCTGCCTTCATTACATCACTCTCCTGACAACTCTGTGACTGGAGAAATACTTCCTAACATTCCTGTGACTCATCTGAGTCTTCAGTTTCTAATTGTGACCCCTTGTTGCTGTGTCGTGTGTGTGTGTGTGTGTGTGTGTGTGTTAGTTGTGTGTGTGTGTGTTGATCTGTTGTTGCTGGCATCTGGTGGCATCATCATGGGAACAGGTAGTAAATGTTAACCTTGCTGGGCATGCATACGGTCTGCTTCGTGTTGCAAATATCATCACAGCACAACTCATTCTTCTTGCAATCATTGTCACTCTTGCACACCTGTCGTAAAAGAATGAAACATGGTATGAGTTGTTTGCCAAGAGTAATTTGCTGTCTGTTTCATGCGTCTGTCAGACTGTCAGTTCATTAATCTCTGCAAAAATGTAAATTCTATTCTATCTCTTGTATTAAACAGGTTGATTAATCTGGAGTTCAAAAACCTATCAAATATACGAAGTCGTTAGGGATGCATGTATCCTGTGCACCACCAGTGCACCACCAGTACCCTGTGCACCACCAGTGCACCACCAGTACCCTGTGCACCACCAGTGCACCACCAGTACCCTGTGCACCACCAGTACCCTGTGCACCACCAGTGAACCACCAGTGCACCACCAGTGGACCACCAGTACCCTGTGCACCACCAGTACCCTGTGCACCACCAGTGAACCACCAGTGCACCACCAGTGCACCACCAGTGGACCACCAGTACCCTGTGCACCACCAGTACCCTGTGCACCACCAGTACCCTGTGCACCACCAGTGAACCACCAGTGGACCACCAGTGCACCACCAGTGCACCACCAGTGCACCACCAGTGCACCACCAGTGCACCACCAGTGCACCATCAGTGCACCACCAGTGCACCACCAGTGGACCACCAGTGCACCACCAGTGCACCACCAGTGCACCACCAGTGCACCATCAGTGCACCACCAGTGCACCACCAGTGGACCACCAGTGCACCACCAGTGCACCACCAGTGCACCACCAGTGCACCACCAGTGCACCACCAGTGCACCATCAGTGCACCACCAGTGCACCACCAGTCAAGAATACTGTATTCCCAAAAACAGGATTTAAAGTAACTCTCAGTGCACATAAAGTAAAAGACACACAGCTGTGTATATATTTTATTATTCAAATATTTTGTCTTGTCTAAAATTCTTGTCTTTATGAAGTTCTGAAAGAGAATGACAAAATTTTTGCCCAGACGTTACAACAAAAATCAAGAATATTTTAACATTCACAGTATCACTTCTTTTTAAATATTTTACTACAACACTTCGAGGTTTACAACTTTCTTTATACTTGAACGCATTAATTCTGATAATTTATTTTGGTAAGCCTATTGGAGTCTTCGCCTATCTTAATGGATTATTAAACGCTATTTTATTCCCTTTAACATAAACTAAAGAATATATATTTATATATATATATATATATATATATATATATATATATATATATATATATATATATATATATATATATAATATATATATATATTATATATATATCGGAGTATATACGTTGTGAGCTTATTTCAGTCTTAAGGATTAAAATGTCCTTGATTGATTTTGTGCAGGTTACATGCAGCCTTAATGGCCCTCGTGTAGTAGATAGGCCTTAGACTAAAAAAAAGGCAAACCAACGATCTCACCTCGATGTTGACGGCTTTGTGCATGACGCCGGGATCACTGCAGTCTACCAAGATCCTGGGCATGGGAGGGCATCGCGGGAACTCTGGGGTAAGGGAATTAGAGTTAGTACACGAAGAGTGAGTAGGACCAGCATCACTGCCAGAGATGCAAGAGAGAGAGAAGGTGTAAACCGAAAGATTACTTTATATCATTGTTCCATCACTGCTACGCCGCCACCATCATCACTACTCTCACATCCTCACCACTATATCACTGCTACGCCGCCACCATCATCACTACTCTCACAACCTCACCACTACATCACTGCTATGCCGCCACCATCATCACTACTCTCACAACCTCACCACTACATCACTGCTACGCCGCCACCATCATCACTACTCTCACAACCTCACCACTACATCACTGCTACGCCGCCACCATCATCACTACTCTCACAACCTCACCACTACATCACTGCTACGCCGCCACCATCATCACTACTCTCACAACCTCACCACTACATCACTGCTATGCCGCCACCATCATCACTACTCTCACAACCTCACCACTACATCACTGCTACGCCGCCACCATCATCACTACTCTCACAACCTCACCACTACATCACTGCTACGCCGCCACCATCATCACTACTCTCACAACCTCACCACTACATCACTGCTACGCCGCCACCATCATCACTACTCTCACAACCTCACCACTACATCACTGCTACGCCGCCACCATCATCACTACTCTCACAACCTCACCACTACATCACTGCTACGCCGCCACCATCATCACTACTCTCACAACCTCACCACTACATCACTGCTACGCCGCCACCATCATCACTACTCTCACAACCTCACCACTACATCACTGCTACGCCGCCACCATCATCACTACTCTCACAACCTCACCACTACATCACTGCTACGCCGCCACCATCATCACTACTCTCACAACCTCACCACTACATCACTGCTACGCCGCCACCATCATCACTACTCTCACAACCTCACCACTACATCACTGCTACCCCACCACCATCATCACTACTCTCACAACACCACCAGCAATATCATAGCACCACACTGATAATGACATCCTGGACCGCATACTAACAATGGCACCCTGGACACCATACTAACAATGGCACCCTGGACACCATACTAACAATGGCACCCTGGACACCATACTAACAATGGCACCCTGGACACCATACTAACAATGGCACCCTGGACACCATACTAACAATGGCACCCTGGACACCATACTAATAATGGCACCCGGCACACCATACTAACAATGGCACCCGGCACATCATACTAACAATGGCACCCTGGACACCATACTAACAATGGTACCCTGGACACTATACTAACAATGGCACCCTGGACATCATACTAACAATGGCACCCTGGGCACCATACTAATAATGACACCCTGGACACCATACTAACAATGGCACCCTGGACACCATACTAATAATGACACCCTGGACAACATACTAACAATGGCACCCTGGGCACCATACTAATAATGACACCCTGGACACCATACTGACAATGGCACCCTGGGCACCATACTATTAATGGCACCCTAGACACCATACTAACAATAGCACCCTGGGCACCATACTAATAATGACACCCTGGACACCATACTGACAATGGCACCCTGGGCACCATACTAATAATGACACCCTGGACACCATACTAACAATGGCACCCTTGGCACCATACTAATAATGACACCCTGGACACCATACTGACAATGGCATCCTGGGCACCGTACTAATAATGACACCCTGGACACCATACTAACAATGGCACCCTGGGCACCATACTAATAATGACACCCTGGACATCATACTGACAATGGCACCCTGGGCACCGTACTAATAATGACACCCTGGACACCATACTAACAATGGCATCCTGGGCACCATACTAATAATGGCACCCTGGACACCATACTGACAATGGCACCCTGGACACAATACTCACCATTTTGAGGCACGGAGTCACAACACAGACTTTTGCCATAGCGGTTATGGCAAGTTTTCCTACACTTGTGCGTCTTAAGATGTGTCTGAGGCATCGCCAGCACCGCCGTCAACAGCACCGCCAGCAGCACCGCCAGCATCGCCGGGCCACCTCTCACAGTGTGTCCAACCTGCTAACATAAGTGTTTACTAATAGTAATTCCTTCTATAACTCCTTGTGTTACCGCCTCCACAGGTAACTGTATGACAGCGCGTCTCTCTCCTGTCAGGGAGGGGGGAGGGGCACTGATTCCAGCGAAGGGCTCTCGATCCAATGAATTGGAGCTACCATCCTCTTCTTTGGATAAATTCCTGGCTGCCTCCCATTCCCCAGGCGCTGTATGATCCCCTACGGTTTTAGCTCTTACTCACGAATATATAATAATAATAATAATAATAATAATAATAATAATAATAATAATAATAATAAGAAGAAGAAGAAGAAGAAGAAGAAGAAGAAGAAGAAGAAGAAAGTAAAATCAGCATTCCTATAACATTTTAAATTAACTATAAAAACTTCCAATTGAAACTCAGCTGGAAAAAATTAAATTTAACTCCGAGTTATTTCCCTGTTGTTTCGACCTGCTGAAGAGGGCCTCAGATGAGGTCGTAATATTTAGATATTTCTCATTATTATTTTAATGACTATCATTATTATTATTATTATCATCAAATGAACATCATTGTAGCAGTGAGTGTACACAACACGTAAGCATTATAACAGAGGTTGTACATAATGTGTGTCCGTATTATGAAGACGTGTCATATACAGAGGTTATATGAAGGTGTTGAAACTGGAGACAGTAGAAGGCGAGGTAATCAGTCCCTCAGCTTAGATGGTGGTATTCATCACCGTGGTCTTGATGAGTCTTGACGAATCAGATTCATCAAGACCACGTTGTGAACACCTTCATCTAGACTGATGGACTGATTACATCTACTCCAGGTTGGGGGACTGATTACCTCAAACGCCTTCTGATCTTCACCATTACCATTTGTATTGGGCTGATGAAGCCACTGTGTGGCGAAACGTTCCCTCAATCAAGATACCCAAGTGTTGCACATGTGTCTGATTTATCACCCTCATCTAGGCTGAGGGACTGATTACCTCGCCTTCTACTGTCTTCAGTTTCAACACCTTCCAATGACCTCTGTATCGAACTGATGAAGCCACTGCTGGGCGAAACGTCTTCATAATAAAAATGCTCAGGTGTTGTATATGTGTCTCTTTCCATAACATACTTGGGTTAAATTATCAACAGGACCTGACATCACCAATGTCTGGTGTCACCAGCACCTGACATCACCACCCTCTGTCGCCACTAGCACCTGACATAATCGTCACCAGGATCAAACATCACCAGTACCTGACATGAACAATACCTGATGTCACAGTACCTGACATCACAAGTACCTGACATCAACAGTGCTTAACATCACCAGTACCTGACATCACCCATACTTAACATCACCAGTACGTAACATTACCAGTACCTGACATCAACAGTACTTAACATCACCAGTACCTAACATTAACAGTGCCTGACATCAGAACCTGACATGCTGACAGTTTACAGTGCCACACAACCCAGTACAGCCACTCAGAACCACAAGTTCAACAAGGAGGTGCCCCACACGTGTCAACAGCAGCATCAGATACAAGGAGACAGACAGGAGCTGGAAGTACAGATGGGTTACATTTTATTATACAAGTGTGTGTTAGACACTCCTCCTCCTGGAGACTGAACCACCGTCCTCTCTGGCGAAAGCCACTGACTGAATATAAGGCACAGGGATGTCAAGAATAAATTATCGTTTACAAGACAGTGGGGAGGTGTAATGAACTAGATGAGGAAGTAGCGGAGGTAGACTCCGTGCACAGTTATAAGAGTAGGAATGATAAAGCCAAGACTGTCGGAGGTCTGTGGGAACCTGGAGCCAGGCATCGACCCCAGTAAAGAAAATCTGCAAGTACAACGTTCACCAGAGTCACTGACCTCTGGCACCTTTCTAGTGTTTCCTTAATTGGAGACTTGGAGTGACTGGCAAGCACTTTCTCCCACACGCTCTCACCTCTCTCGATTTTTGTAATACGCATAAATGCTCCCACAAGTACACAGTTGCCTGCTCGTTGTGCCGGGTATGTCTCTGTTTCTGTGCGGCTCTAAACTCTTATGGGCCATTCAGTTCAAGGAAACGTGGAGAGAGTTCATGCGGGTTAGTCAATGTAAATGATGGAGGCTGGATCTTCCGGCCACTAACAACGATGCCCATCCACTGCCTTGCTTTACTCACCTGATTATCTCACTCTTCTCACCTGGTTGTCTCATCATCATGGACCAAGTGATGTTAGGTAAGACACATATGCAACAGTTAGGTATCTTTATTTCGAAACGTTTCGCCTACACAGTAGGCTTCTTCAGTCGAGTACAGAAAAGTTGATAGAAGCAGAAGATACTTGAAGACGATGTAATCAGTCCATCATCCATCACAGGGTGATGGACTGATTACATCGTCTTCAAGTATCTTCTGCTTCTATCAACTTTTCTGTACTCGACTGAAGAAGCCTACTGTGTAGGCGAAACGTTTCGAAATAAAGATACCTAACTGTTGCATATGTGTCTTACCTAACAACCTGTCGGTATTTTATACCATTTTAATGTTCGACCAAGTGATGTAACATGACTTACGTCGCTCACTCACCTGGGTTCTCGACGACAGGTTATAATTTACAGTCTGTTATAAGTACTCTTCAAAAATGTAGGCAAATGGTTCGGAGAACCGACAAGTCGATAAATTAGACATATGTGCCACAACTTGGGTATTTTCACTGAGGAAACGTTTCGCCAGGCAGTGGCTTCATCAGTCCAATACGAAGAAGAATAGTGAAGATCAGAAGGAGTTTGAGGTAATCAGTCCTTCAGCCTGGAGTCGATGTAATCAGTCCACAGTCTTGAAAAGATTGATGGACTCCTAATCCTCACCATTCTTCCTTGTATTGGACTGATGAAGCCATTGTGTGGCGAAACGTTTCCTCAGTGAAGATACCCATGTGTGGCTCACAAGTCTAATTTATCACCCTACTTCAGAAACTGACTCAATCGAATCAGAAGTAAACACTGCCTGTCCACACAGTAGTGAGTCTCGGTAAACTGATCCTCGTATATACCAATAACTTTCCTACAACTGGAATTAAACTTCACGTGCCGTATTCACATTTTCTACGACGGTAATGAGAACACGAACAGGTAACGATTGCAGGAGACTCTAGGTCAAGTAAGTGGCTATTAGAGCTCAACCCCTCAAGTGCAAGCCAGTGAAGATAGGAATTGCGGAAGATGACAGGCATAATTGTACACTAGCCGGGTAGAGACTCAATGAATGAGATCCAAAAAAAATAGCTGAGAGTACACAACATACAGAGCCAGTCTCCAGACGAACAATTAATTAAATAATAACATTGAAGTGAACCAGTGTAGAAAGCAAAAGAACGGCTTTCTTAAGCCTTAAAAAAGAGAGCTGTTCAATTTGCACTTCGCTACACATTTATGACTAGTTCGTAAAATATGCAGCAATATAACAGTATAGCAGCACTATAATATAACAGTACTATAATATAACAGCACTACAGTATAACAGCACAACAGTATAACAGAACTACAATGTAATAACACTATAATATAACAGCACTATAATATAACAAGTCTCGACTCACCATGGTTCTGGAGCGGAGAGCGAACCTGTGTATGTGGAAGCTAGGGATGCACTCCTTACCGTTACCTCCTGCACTTCCCCTTTTATAGTACCATCCCTGCAACACACACACACACACACACACACACACACCACACACACACACACACACACACACACACACACACACACACACACACACATACATACACACACACACAAGTGCAAAGGTTTGCGACAAGGTTAGTTCCAGAGCTAAGGGGAATGTCTTATGAAGGAAGGTTAAGGGAAATCGGCCTGACGACACTGGAGGACAGGAGGGTCAGGGGAGACATGATAACGATATATAAAATACTGCGCGGAATAGACAAGGTGGACAAAGACAGGATGTTCCAGGGAGGGGACACAGAAACAAGAGGTCACAATTGGAAGTTGAAGGCACAGATGAGTCAGAGAGATATTAGGAAGTATTTCTTCAGTCATAGAGTTGTCAGGCAGTGGAATAGCCTAGAAAGTGATGTAGGGGAGGCGGGAACCATACATAGTTTTAAGACGAGGTTTGATAAAGCTCATGGAGCAGGGAGAGAGAGGACCCAGTAGCAACCGGTGAAGAGGCGGGGCCAGGAGCTAAGACTCGACCCCTGCAACCACAAATAGGTGAGTACACACACATACACACACACACACACACACACACACACACACACACACACACACACACATACACACACACGAGTCATGGTACGTGATGAGGTATCACAGTGGGCACCTGTGACGAGCGGGGTCCCACAGGGGTCGGTCCTAGGACCATTGTTATTTTTGGTATATGTGAATGACATGACGGAAGGGATAGACTCAGAGGTGTCCCTGTTCGCAGATGATGTGAAGTTAATGAGGAGAATTAAATCAGATGAGGATCAGGCAGTCCTTCAAAGTGACCTGGACAGGCTGGACACGTGGTCCAGCAACTGTCTTCTCGAGTTCAACCCTGCCAAATGCAAAGTCATGAAGATCGGAGACGGGCAAAGAAGACTGCAGACAGAGTATAGGCTAAGTGGCCAACGACTGCAAACCTCTCTCAAGGAGAAAGATCTTGGCGTGAGTATAACACCGAACACGTCTCCGGAAGCACACATCAACCAGATAACTGCTGCAACATATGGGTGCCTGGCAAACCTGAGATTAGCATTCCGATACCTAAATAAGGAATCTTTCAAGACACTGTACACCGTGTATGTCAGGCCCATACTGGAGTATGCAGCACCTGTTTGGAACCCACACTTGATCAAACACGTCGAGAAATTAGAGAAAGTGCAAAGGTTTGCGACAAGGTTAGTTCCAGAGCTAAGGGGAATGTCCTATGAAGAAAGGTTGAGGGAAACCGGCCTGACGACACTTGAGGACAGGATGGATAGGGGAGACATGATAACGACATACAAAATACTGCGAGGAATAGACAAGGTGGACAGAGACAAGATGTTCCAGAGAGAGGACACAGAAACAAGGGGTTACTCTTGGAGGTTGAAGACTCAGATGAGCCACAGGGATGTTAGGAAGCATTTCTTCAGTCACAGAGTGGTCAGGAAGTGGAATAGTCTGGCGAGCGAAGTAGTGGAGGCAGGAACCATACATAGCTTTAAGACGAGGTAGGTTAAAACTCATGGAGCAGGGAGAGAGAGGACCTAGTAGCATTCAGTGAAGAGGCGGGGCCAGGAGCTGAGTCTCGACCCCTGCAACTACAATTAGGTGAGTACACACACACACACACACACACACACACAAACAGGCAGGGAAAACAGGCAAGATTTTAGATTAGATTTTGCCACCGAAGTGGCTAGTTTATTGTGCACCCCATATCCATCCTCTGGACGGTAGCGCAAGAGCATATGGATAAACAAAAGGCCTAGGAACTAGGCCCTAAAGGGTTAACAGGTGTGCATATGGATTTATGTCTACATATCTACAGTTCACTTATCTGTTACAAGCAAATATAGGAAATTTGCTTAGTATATCTGGTATCTCATTTTCATTAATAAGATACCTTGACATGTCACATAGGTTAGTATACTGTCTGTCTCTGTATTCCTCAATAAGTGGACAATTAAGCACTTTGTGTTCAAGACAGTGACCATATGCCTGATCACATAATTTGCATTTAGTTTGATCATTACTGTGTGTGTGCCAAACTGCCAGAAGTACTTGTAACCAAGCCTAAGCCTGGCCACTACAACATAAACATACTTATCTACGTTCATGTTATCATAGTGGGTTATAGATCTACAGGAAAAACACTACAGTGGATCAGGGAATACCTGTCAGGAAGACAGCAGCGAGTCATGGTACAAGGTGAGGTGTCAGAGTGGGCGCCTGTGACGAGTGGGGTTCCACAAGGGTCAGTCCTAGGACCGGTGCTGTTTCTGGTATTTGTGAACGACATGACGGAAGGAATAGACTCCGAAGTGTCCCTGTTTGCAGATGCCGTGAAGTTGATGAGAAGAATTCAATTGGACGAGGACCAGGCAGAACTACAAAGGGATTTGGACAGGCTGCAGGCCTGGTCCAGCAATTGGCTCCTTTAGTTCAACCTAACCAAGTGCAAAGTCATGAAGATTGGGGAAGGGCAAAGAAAACCGGAGACGGAGTACAGTCTAGGGGGCCAGAGACTACAAACCTCACTCAAGGAAAAAGATCTTGGGGTGAGTATAACACCAGGCACATCTGAGGCGCACATCAGCCAAATAACTGCTGCAGCATATGGGCGCCTAGCAAACCTAAGAACAGCATTCCGCCATCTTAATAAGGAATCGTTCAGGACCCTGTACACTGTGTACGTTAGGCCCATATTGGAGTATGCGGCACCAATTTGGAACCCATATCTAGCCAAGCGCGTAAAGAAACTAGAGAAAGTGCAAAGGTTTGCAACAAGACTAGTCCCAGATCTAAGAGGTATGTCCTACGAGGAGAGGTTAAGGGAAATCAACCTGACGACACTGGAGGACAGGAGAGTTAGGGGGGATATGATAACGTCATATAAAATACTGAGAGGAATTGAAGGTGGACAGAGATAGAATGTTCCAGAGATTGGACACAGTAACAAGGGGACACAGTTGGAAGCTGAAGACACAGATGAATCACAGGGATGTTAGGAAGTATTTCTTCAGTCACAGAGTAGTCAGGAAGTGGAACAGTTTGGGAAGCGATGTAGTGGAGGCAGGATCCACTCATAGCTTCAGGCAGAGGTATGATCAAGCTAATGGTGCAGGGAGAGTGACCCAGTAGCGGCCAGTGAAGAGGCGGGGCCAGGAGCTATGAATAGACCCCTGCAACCACAACTAGGTGAGTACAACTAGGTGAGTACAACTAGGTGAGTACAACTATGTGAGTACAACTAGGTGAGTACACACAACACACACACACACACACACACACACACACACACACACACACACACACACACACACACACACACACACACACACACACACACACACACACACACACACACACACACACACACACACAAACAAACAAACACACACACACACTAGTAGCGACCAGCGAAGACGCGGTACCAGGAGCTGTGAATCAACCCTTACAACCACATATAGGTGAGTACAAATAGGTGATTACACTAGGAGCTATGTCAGGAGCCAAGAGCTGTGCCAGTGTGCCATTAGCTGTTCCAAGGGCCAGGAGCTGTGAATCAACCCTTGCAACCACATACAGGTAAGAAAAGTGAGTACACACACACACAACATATTTATTAGAAAACGTTTCGGTCCTGGGACCTTGATCACTTCTAACATACAGAGGTAGAAAGACATTATATATATAGGCGGAGAGTGAGATGTGACGCACGTGACCTGAGGAATGTCATAAGAACATAAGAATGGAGGAACACTGTAGAAGGCCTACTGGCCCATGCGAGGCAGGTCCTTATCAAAACAACCTCTGCCTATGATGAGGAGGGGTAGACGATGAAATCATGTGACTCCTGTGTTGTTGGGTTGGTGCTGCTTAAGTATCATGTATGCCAATGTTTTTGAAATTTTGTAGTTTCCAGTGTTGCGTTCTATAGTGTCGGTGACGGTGATTAGTGAGGCTTCTAGGCACCGTCGGCGTCTGAGGTCTGGTTCGGTGAGAACGAGTTGTGCCTCGTTCCAGTTCATCAAATGCCCCGTGGAGTCTCTGTGGAGGACACAGGCGTACCTTACATCGTCTCTGTTAGAGGCATTTCGATGCTCATTCAGGCGGACTGCAAGATCTCTGCCTGTCTCGCCTACATATTTCTTGGGACAGAACCCACAGGGGATAGTGTAGACGCCTGCTGTAGAAGTTAGAGGTGTGGGGCTGCGTTTAGTAGTGAGGTCTTTGATAGAGGATGTGTTTATGGTGGAAACATTGATGTTACTCATAGCAAGTGCCCGGCGAGTATTCGTGGCAACATCGCCACATGGGAGTACTATGAACTGTTTAGGGGGCTGTTCCATGGGCGGTTTGTTGAGGATAGCTTGTGCCTTGAGTCTGCAATCTCGGATGAAGAAAGATGGGAACTGAAGACGGTAAAGGCTTGTGTTATGTAAGTGCATTCTTCTTCTAGAAAACAAGGGCTGGAGATGCGAAGAGCTCTCAAGAAGAAGCCAATGAGGACTCCTCTCTTAGTGCGGGTATCTTGGTGTGAATAAAAGTGTATTTAGATCGTCCTTGTTGGTAGGTTTTCTATACACTTTGAAGAGAAGTTTGTCACTGTCGGGAGATCTGCACAGTAGAACGTCGAGGAAAGGAAGTTTGCCATCATTTTCGAGTTCAAGTGTAAACTTTATTGATGGTTCAACTGCATTGATCTTGTTGAGAAGGGCCTGGATATTGAGACGTCTCGGATAGAAAACCAATATATCATCAACGTATCTTAGCCAGGTAACGGTGTTGGGAATAAGGGTGCTGAATTTCTCTGTCTCTTCCCAACACCGTTACCTGGCTAAGATACGTTGATGATATATTGGTTTTCTATCCGAGACGTCTCAATATCCAGGCCCTTCTCAACAAGATCAATGCAGTTAAACCCATCAATAA